CCAATTAAATTCTAGGGAATTAAGGGCAATTGCTCTCTACTCCTACAACATTCACTATGCTGTTCTTTAGTGCAGCATGAAAAACTTCTTTACTGACAGTACAGAGTATTCTACTATGACTTAGTATTTGAAGACTGAACCACACATTTCATTCTATTTTAACTCCATTAAGTGTATGTAACAAATTCTGATTGGTTTCTAATTGCTTTGTCAAAAGAAGAAATAAATAAAAAAAATCAGACACAACCGGAATTTTCCAACAGTTGCAGAAGTGTCATTTAATAAAAATGTGGGTTTTAAATTCTTCCTAATATCATAGTTCTTTAAAAACTACAAAATGAGAAAGCAAATCTCCTTCATCTCAGAACGGGCATTACTGCTTTGCTCTCTGAATAATAAAGAAGGTTCAAAGAAAACTCACAGCATTATTTTCCATAGCACCTGCTGCCGATTCCTAGATTCCAAATGGAGAATCAAAGTCTCCCTTGGTGTAATCTCAGTCATTCTTCATCAACCATTGCAGACATCTGAATCCAAGCTTTGCAACATGCGTTTAAGGCTAATTTTACACAAAGAGTCGGGAGAGCCAATATGTGGCAGAAAACAGATTCCAGCATATAAAAACATATTCTCATTTGTCTTTCCATACTCTTGTGGTACTAATTTATCCCTGGTTCTCAGCAAGCCACAGGTTCTTGGGTTTTAGGCTACCGCTGTCACACCCACAAATTATAATGCCCTCTACAGCCAACACTGTTAAGTTAAATACCTGCTCTGCTACAGCAAAAGGCAAGGTAATACATACCATTCAACCAACCTTCTGCAAGCAAGATTTAGCATGCTTATGACATATCTGCAGTGGCTAAAAGCCCAAGCTGCAGCTATCGTGTCAGTTCAGGATTTTTTAGACTGACAGTGAAGGTACGCTTCTAAAAAGCACTGATTCTGGTACAAATCTGCTACATGAATAGTCTTGGTCCGTGCACTTAATCCGACATGTGAAATTTCTTGTGCACGAAATGTGTAGCTCATTGGCTCCTGACAGTATGTTTCCACCAAGTGCTTTCCAAGAAAGTAAATACATCACGCACACGCACAAGGATTGTGCCACACATCTCATAAGTCTAATATATCTCACACATTGTGGAATTGGTGCAAACGCAGCACACTGATGCTTTGTTCAGGCTCTGTAGAAATGGCCAGATACAGAGAGGCCTAGCAAAAATATTCATGGTAAGTCTGCCTGGATTGCTGTAGATCCAGAAATCCTGTCAAATTCAAACCATCAGTTTCTACATGAACAAAGTCCGGATTATTAATAAATAAATAAATCAATAAATAAAGCTGTATGGAAACTCTTGAAAAGGAAAGGTACATAGACTTCTGGAAATAAAGAACTTCAGTCTTTTCACCACTTGCTACTTTGCTGCTGCACAGGAATTATTTGAACACTGAGCTGCAATCCTCCTGCACTAAACCCCAAAATTTCCAAAGCAAAATCCAGTTTAGAATTTGAAACTACACACCAATAAATTAATCTTAACTGCTGTTTGTGTAAACTACTATGTAAAAACAGATGTATATCCATAGATGTCTAAATCACTCAGGCAGCACAGTAATACTCTTAAAAAGCCCAAGCAAGACAAATTAGTATAGTGAAAAGGGAGGTGGTCAGGAATAACTAAAGATGAATTAGTGATTGCAACCAGTGAGACCACAGAAGTTTAAGAAAATAGTAGAAAATGAAAGTACACAATCTCACACTAACAAAGAAACGAGTAAAAGATGAGCAGGAACTCTTCCAGCTTCTACGGTTAGAAATTTGTATTTTAAATAAGAAGTTACTTGCTAAATAAATAATAAATTCTAATGGGAAAGAACATATTCATTTACTTCAGACCTACGCTGGCCAGTGTCCAATAATAGCAAGCTGTTCTTGTTATTGTTGAAGAACAGAATGAATTTGAGCATGTACCTTTATAACGGCCAGAAAGCACATTAAATCAAAATATTTTAAAATTACTATCCATTGCCTTTGTTATATATATTGCTCTACTGCAACATCTCTTCCTTGACATGTGCATCCTCTGCCTCTGTAGTAGGGAAGAAGCGACCACAGGCCCAAAGGAGATGAGCTCACACAAAAGCACGTTTACAGGCTCTCCGCAGTGCAAAACGCCTTCCAGGAGAGCTGGGACTTTGGCTGCCGTTACTCAGCATCCCGCCCGGCCCCACCGGGCCGAGGGACTCTGCCGGCTGCCCGGGCACAGCAGCGGGAGGCAACGCGGAGGGGAAGCTCCTTCACCTCCTCCGGAGCCACAACCGCTTCGCTCCCCCGAGGCCCTGAGGCCAGGCCGCGGCAGCTCAGCACCCCGCTCCTCCCCGTCTGTCTCTGAAAAGCGATTTTACGCTTCTCCCTCCCCCAGCCGAGA